AAATAGTCCATCTTTGCACCCATGAATTAAAGGCATATGCTACGATTTTATCTATGGTGACATCCTTTGGCGAATGATTTTAAAAAAAAAATCTTTAGTTTGTAAACCTAGTGCACACAACCACAATTAAAATGCATGAAGGTTAGTCTTGACTCCATAGACTGGTTTTGAACATTCGAGATGGGGAAGATCCGAATAACTCACTGTAGGAGTATTTTAGGGGTTTTGAGTGTAATTGAATCCCATTAGTGCTCGATTACTTGTCTCTTAGGCCATCTCCAACCGATGGCTGGCCAGAGGGCTCGTTTTAGCTCTCTGGCCCTCCAAGATTCTCCAAGATATTAATATTTTAATGAACAGTACAGGGCCATATTTGCCTCCGTCTCCAACCGAGGGCCAGAGGGCCAGAGGGCTCGTTTTAGCCCTGTCAAAAAAAACCGTCTCCAACCGAGGGCCAAAGGGCCATAGGGCCAAAGGGCCATAGGGCCAAACATAATTTTATTATTTAAAAACTACAACTTAATTTTATTTAAAAATCATGTTGGTTAGTGTTGTATAATTTTTATGTCGGTTAATGTTATTTAATGTTGTTTCATATTGTTTAATGTTGTTTCATGTTACTTAATTTAATTTAATGTTGTATAATGGCTTAGGAAGTTATAGGAAAAAATTAGAATTTAAAAAAAATATGAAACAAATTTTGTGAAATAGAAGTTATAGGAAAAAATGGAATTTAAAAAAAAAATATGAAACAAATTTTGTAAAATAGAAGTTATATGAAAAAAATATGAACCAAATTTTGTAAAATATAAGTTATAGGAAAAAAATAGAATTAAAAAAATTGAAACAAATTTTGTAAAATAGAAGTTATAGGAAGTTATAGAAAAAAAAAGAAAAAAAAAAGGTTTAAATTCATAAAAAAAAAAAAAAGGATTTACAACGGCTAGTGGCGCTAGCCGTTGGAAGTTTGAATTCAAAATGTTATTTCTGTCGGTTGTAACCGACAGAAATAAGAAACATTAAAAAAAAAATAGCCAGCCCTCCAGCCCTCCAGCCCTCTCCGATCCCGTGGGGCCCTCCCAGATTCCCGAGCCCTCTGGCCTAGCCCTCGGTTGGAGACGGTTTTAGGGCTATTTTCGGCCCTCTGGCCCTCTGGACCCTTCGGTTGGAGATGGCCTTACCCATGTCATGTCATCCATACAGCACAGAACCTAATTCTTTGCATATAAAATTATATATTATAAACCCACTTCTAGCTTCCATTCCATCGGAACGGAAAAGGATCCTTGCCGATTCATTTTTTTAGGAATTTCGCAATTGTGTCCGTTCATCGTATATCGTGCGATCATAAATCATTTAAAATTTAAAATTTAAAATTCAAATATAAATAATACCTAATAAAAAAATTAACTGTACGATATACGAATACGATTGCGGGATCCCTAAAATCCTTAGGAAAAGAAACCGACGATGATCCTTTTCCCATCGGAACCCAATGTCAATTATTATATTAAAATATACTAACATGTAGAATGTTAGTGGTTTCTAAAGACAATACGATAAACGAACACGATTGCGATATACGATATATGATAAACGAACACGATTACAAAATCCTTAAAATTCTTAAGAAAAGAACCGACGATGATCATTTTCCCATTGGAACCCCAATGTCAATTATTATATTAAAATATACTAACATATACACATGGCACATGTAGAATGTTAGTGGTTTCTAAAGACAATCCCATTGACAAATCTGAGAACTCCTTTTTTGAGTGCAACCGACTATGTGATCCACTTGTGGCTTTGGTTGAAAAGTGGGGAAGACCCAAATTTCTCCATCTTATCTATTAGACAAAGAAACGTCACGACGGTTTTCCAAAAAAAAAAAAAAAGAAAAAAAAAAAAAGAGAAACGTCACGTCGTTTTTTTATCTCAAAAGTGCAACCACTAACCATATGTTGTCGCATGTTGTGTATGCACTGATATAAATAGCAAGGACTTTTATGAACTGATATAAATAGCAAGGACTTTTGGAGTCCAACTACCAAAACATCAAAATTGCACCCCTCATGGGCAAGCATTTGCCACTGGGTTTTGTGGGTCTAGAGACATTGATCATGGATGGGTCATGGATTTGCTGTATTGCAACTTCATATACTTCATTCAATCTGATGATCCACTTAGACATTAGAACAGCTTTGCCACATGCCATGCTAAGATAATTTCTTCTTCTTCTTCTTCTTCTTCTTCTTCTTCTGTTTTTTCTAAATACATTGGATGTGATCAAAATCTTAATATCACTAAATCTAAACCATTTCCTAGCTGGCCTTGTCAACTGGATAAATTCAAGAAAAATGCTTTATGTTAATGTTATCAGACTGTAAATTTAGACTATTAGTTCACTGAAGTCCTGTTCAAATTTGTAATTTAAAAAATGACGACATAAGCATTTATGTGAAGAAAAAAAGTCTAACAAGAAACAAATGCTTTCCTTCTGAATAGTTGCTGTGTTTTTGTAAGTATTTGATTGAAATTTTCTCCAAGTGTATATTATACCTACTAACGAATTTTTTTAGCTACAAATCAAAGACCTTCGATATTTTTTTTTTGTCAAAAAAGACCTTCGATATTAAGACCACATGATCTAGAAACAACAACCATTAAGTTGAGAATTTCCATATATTTGCTGTCTCAAATTTCATGTATATTACATATACCATATATGACTCCTACCTTCATAACGAGCCTTGTACAAGCAAAAAATGAAATTAAAGTTATTCATTGTGTAATGGATCCTAAATTAAGTACGTAAATGTTTTTCAGAGTTTAATATGTGAAGTCGCATTAAGTACATCCTAAACTAGTCAAGTTAATAGAGCACTCTAATAACTTTGAGTGAATAGCTAATCACAACTCGTATCTTCCCAATTCTTTACGTGGAATATAGAATTTTTTATTTCGTTATTATTCTCTTGTGGCTAGTTTTACATAATAACCAAATAATTGTTGAGTTATTTATTTATTTTTTGCATCGTACGTATAGGTTGAGAGCTACTATATAATTAAATCATGGTTTCCAAAAGATGGCTCTTGATCTTGTGATCGATAGTTGCAGACATTGCTCCCTGAATTGGCTCTTGATTTTGTGATCTTATATTTGGCGTGTGGACTTGGTCCTAAGGAATTGATAAATAGCTAGTGGGTTAAGCCCAGCATATTTAAACCCTTGATAAAGGCTACCCGAGCCTAATAAATTGAGTAGCGGGCTGTGACTCAACCCGAACCGAACCTCCTAATGTCTACCCTTACCAATGATCAACACACACAAAGAAAGTTATCAAACTTTGCCCTTATGTGCACTGAGAATTTCACAGTTTCTTTCGAGAATTCCACTATATTCAAACAATATAATTGTACAGCCAAATCACTTATTGCATGCAAAGTATTTTAATCGCTTCATTATATACAGGTAAAATCTTTGTAAAGTATTGGAATGCATTTTGCTCACCCACATTAACTTTGGTGTATGCTCATCGTACAAATTCTTGTTTGCCACGTGTCTCATCTCTTAACTATAGTTAACATCTTTATTAAATGTTCTTTTTATTTTTTTAATAGTGATTTAAATAGTGATTAAATAAAAACAAAAATAAATACAAACAAAATAGTTACTCTACCCAACCATGCCAACCCTGACAAACAGGTAGCCGCGACGCCACCGCCGCCGGCTACCAATTTCAACCCAATTCCTTAATCCTTTTCAACCTATCACTCCACTCTTACCCCGAAACAACATCTACCATGCTCTTAACAATATCATTCGTCCCATTATCTTCGATCATCCTATCATAAAAATGCTTGAAATGGAAAAGCCCTTTTTCAACTGCTCTATAATTACCATAGACGTTTGCACATCAATGGAAAATCCCTTCTCTCTCATTTGCCTCAGATCGATCCAAAGTCTTTCATGGGTGTTTATCCAATTTCTTCAAAACATGAGTACTGCACATCAATGGATAAAGACCCACCGAAGAACTCAACTAAATCCATTTTTTCTCACATGCCTAATTGAAAAAATCCAAACCCTTTCATGGGTCTTTATCCAATTTCTTCAAAACATAGATTACTGCATCAGTGGTGAGTGATGTGTACGACGCGGATAACTCGTTCTCGAACTCACCGGACCATAGGTTAGCCAAAATGAGTAGCTGCCTTGGAGGACCGGTACTGAATAGAGATGAGAGAGACGGCATAAGGGTGAAGAAGAGAGAGAGAGAGAGAGAGAGAGAGAGAGAGAGAGAGAGAGAGAGAGTGAACATATGGTTTTTCCGGCGGCAAGACTGAGATCTGATCACTTGCGGCGACGTGGGTAGGTGTTTTTCGGGTTGGTTGGGTGGGAAATTTGAAGCGCCGGAGTTATTTTATTTTTGTTTAATCTCAGTTTTAAATCACTGTTAAAAAATAAAAAGAACATTTAATAAAAATGTTAACTATAGTTAGGAGATGATGCACATGGCAAGTGTATGGTGAGCATACACCAAAGTTAATGTAGGTGAGCAAAAATGCACCCTAAAGTATTGGGATCAAACTAGTTTTATATTTTTTAAAAGTTATCATCAAAAGAGGTGCAATTAAAAAATCATTTGACTTATTTATTCTTAATGAATGTTGTATTTTCTAAAGAGTGGTGCTATTTACGCATCAATTTTTACCTCTCACACACCATTTTTAATTTTTGACCGTTGGATCGAATGAATAGACGAAGATCAGGACTCCCATGTAACACTTTTAAATTCCCATAGTTTATTTAAAAGGAAACGATAATATTCAATTAATAGATGTGTGTAGCCATATTGACAGCGCTCGAGTATGAATTCTCTTTGATATAATTTAATTAAATTGAAGTATAATATTGCCATTTCAACAAATCCAGTATTAAAAATTATTAAAAGAAAAAAAGCAAAAGAGAAAATTCAGCATAAACACCAGGATTCAACAATGTGAAATTTTTTTTTTTTTTTTTTTTTACAACAATGTAAAAACTATTAAAGCAAAGTGGAAATTGGAACGAACACTGATGCTTGTTAGTGCTCTTTTATTCATGCATTTATTTTCTCTGCTTCAACTCAAACTTTCCTCCTTCAGTCTGCAGTTTATTTTGTAGTGCCAACAATGCAAAGCCATTGACCCACAAAGATACTGTCACGGTTGAGGTTAGGGTTGATTTCAGAGAAGTGAGCAGCATTCAGTTTGAACTTCTGAATGATTCCATCACAAGTATCCCCAAGTTTTGCCCCATATACCTTTTGGCATCTTGGGGCTCTTGGAGCTGCTTTCAGGCCCCCAAACCCAACTACACAATCAAATATTCAAAAGAAAGAAAAAAGAAAAGTTAAAACACAAAAGGCAACGTATTAGTATCCAACGTATACATAAAAAATGAAATTCAGCAAAACATTGATTTCATACAAACCGAAATGATAATCGTCTATAACTAGATAATTACAATTCTAATCTTGTAAAGCTTACTGCTGCCTAGTTGTTTTCCCTCAGCAAAGGAGATGATGAGAAGAAGGCAGAACAAGAGAACCAAATTACGGGACATGGCTGCTTTTTTGTTAGAGATAATCACAGCCATTATTGCTTCATATGTGATTGTAATTAGTTTTAGTAAGAAGCTAACTCTGTTTAGTGTTGGTTGATGATTTGTTGAGAGTGTAAAGCCATATATATAGGTAGAGATGGTAATGCCTTGTTAGAGGCCGGTTTGTCCAACGTCCCTTTCTAGTGTGTTTATCCCAAAGAAGTTATAAATATATTAAGCAATCTTTTAAGAACATGTTGTGTATGGGAATATTGCGCATTGCGCAGGCTTGGTTGTTTTTGTTTTTGCTTTTGTTTTGTTTTTTGGGTCTTTTTCTTGTATTGCTAACATCTTTCTGCTGTCCTACATATGATTATTTGTCCTTTTACTACCACACAAAAGGATCACTCCAGATATTTATTTGAAGTTCACACACACACACAGACACACACATATATATATATATATATATATATATATATATATATATATATTCGTAAGAATAAAATTAATCAAATAAGTATTTTATGATATAAAACAGATGACTGAGAGGATAGAAGACGCAATGGACCCATGGAAGTCAAAAGAACGTAGCAGGAATTTGCAAATTTGGCGTCCAAGCTTCGATTTGGGCCCATGATACTTTTCAGAAAAGATAACGACTCCACGGTTCAAACACATTGCTTTGCTATGATAATACTATAGATTTCGGCCATCTACGGTCGTCTAGGCTTCCAAAATAGTTTTTTAATTTTTGTAATAAAAATTGGACTTTTCGTTTGCCATTCGATTAATATCGTTTTGATTTCGTTCAATTCCCTAAGGCCCTTGAGCTTGCATTTTGATTATGTTGTTAAAGCTGTTGGCTTCATTGTATTGTCGTCTTTCAATCAATAATCAAACAAAATTTTAAATTTTCAACCAAAATCTATAGTGGATTCTAGAATTTGTTCTTTAAGGACTTACGTTGGTATCTCATGTTAACTTCGTGCTGCATCATTTTATTGATTTACATAAGTTTCTAGATCATCTATCTAATTTTTGCAAGATCTTTTGCATCAATAGTAAGGAAATATTATAACTAGGTTATTTGTTACCGATTCTTATTATTTATTGAGTCATAGCGGAGCCAGAACTAGTAATTTTTATTTATTTTTCTGTTATTTAGGTTAAAATTTTAGTGAAGAATATTTATATGGCTCAATAAAGCGTGCTCAACTATTGGGTTTACTCATATAAGTACATGTAAGGTCCATTAATTTTTCGATATGATATTTACTCTAGATAACAACATTTTTCTTGCTACGATCAAAAGATTTAACTATAATTTAACCGTCGATCTTTTCACAAAAATTGTGAGCTACAAGTCACCATTTTTTAATTGGTTTTGAGAAAATGTACAAGAATCATGAGAAACTTTTTATTACTTATGTCACATAATGAATTGTAAGACCATTTCCGAATTCCTAATAACCTTTTTTTTAGAAGGCACTTAAAAGATCTTGCTAAAACTCATCGATTGAACTTTTCACTAAAACTGTGACCTGTCATGATATTATTTTCACACAAATTATGAGTTGTCCTAGTTATTTTGTACTAATTATTTTACTAAAGTAGTTGGAAAAAAATACCTTCGGGATTAGGCTTAGTTTATAGAAACATAATCTCTCATGGGCAACTTTGCCCCCTCCCTCAATGGTTATGGTGCTATCTCGGATGGGCTTCCATGTCCTCCGTCATCTTTTGATTGATGTCTGATAGTGGAATCACTATTAGCCTCTTCCTCTTTTGTTTCACTTGAGTAGTGTTCAGTAGTATTTGTCTGATTGTATAAACCGTATTTCGCTACTGCCTAGTTTGTATCGACTGCACTCTCTTTTTTATTTTCGGTTTGCCTTTGGGCTATCATAGCCTTTATTTGCACTTGCTGTCCCTTTTCGGGTCTTTAACGAAGTTTTCATTTGGACAAAAAAAAAAAAAAAAGATGCTAGGTTCAACCCGATTTCTCATCCTTCAAGCAGCCTCGTGGCTTCCGCATAATCCTCTTCCTCTTCTTGTGTATTATTACTGGGCAAAATAGTAAACATGCGAAGAATTAGTAGAACGGCGAACGTTGTCTCTTAGATGATGATGATGATGATGATGCTGATCTGGTTGAGCTGCTGCTGGTAATAAGGAGGCATTGTCGCCGAGGCAGTGGTCGATGACGTACGGCACCATTTTTTTTTTTTTTAAGTAATTCATTAATGGTGCAGCCACAAGCTAGCCAGAATTATAACCATGGGTCAAAGATAGGGAAGTAGCTTATGTGACCAAATTAAAGGAAACAGACTCGATTATTTATATTCACTTGTAGTTAAATACATAATTATACACCTTGGAAGATTATTATCTAGCTTTCGAAATTCCTAGATGGCAAGGTTGAATTTAAAGTCATCTCATCGAATTCATAGGTTTCAGGTAAACTCAAATGACAGAGACATAATATGTTCTAATTACTAGAAAAATTGGCAATAATTATCGTCGTTAGTTGCACATAATGGGGTGAATAAAAGATCTATTGGTAACTAATGAGCTGTATGAAAAGTATACTGGTGGCTAATACCCACATTAGACACCACATTATGTGCAACTAACGTCATTAACTATTGTAAAATTTTGTGGTAATGAATAGGGCATATTTAAAACACGAATAATGTGACAATCACAACGTAAAATAGTAGTAGCCGGAGAAATAAAATATTTAAATCTATTTTCAACTTTGTAGTCATGGCATGTTGCGTCCTTACGAAGACTATTTGTACCTCGTAATTTACCATTTTATTTATGACATGTAAATTAAGATGCATGTCACAATCATTTAAGTTATTGACTTTAAAAACATCGTTAACTAACCAACATCTAATCGGTACGGAGATAGTATACGAAGATAGCACGGCCTTAAATTTAAATTTGTACTGAGGAATTACGTACCGAAATGAATTATACTTATCGCTACCAAAAATTTTTGAAGTACTAATCCAGAATTGCAGATGAAGAGAGTGCTTTACTATTTGCTAATGGGGGTGAGAAGAAGCAGTAAATTGAGCTAGTTAATAGGAGCGAAAAGACTGAAAAGTTCTCCTTCTACAACACCGAAACGTTACGTGCCTGTTTGTGTTGGTGTGGATGGTGATACTAAGCGTTTCATGATTCATACCAAGTTGCTCCGTCATGCAGAGTTCTTGAAACTGCTATATAGATCAGCTGAGGAATATGGGTTTTGCAATGATGGGGTTTTGAGGATTCCATACGAAGCCAGGGATTTTGAAGAGTATTGGATGATCAAGATGCCCAAACCTAATATTTACAGGGTTGAACCAGTTTAATTAATTATTTGTCACGGGTTTGCCGGTAAGTAAACTGTATGATGTAATTATTTGAATAAATGATCTTAGTTGGGTCCAATGGAAGTGTTTTTTATTTTTCAAAGAAAACCTCGACGGTACAAAGTAATTTTATTGATAACAAAAAAGAAGTTATACCTAGTCAGGAAGATATAAACCTAACCCCTCATAATGGGAATGCTATGATTGAGCACCGTTTTATTGACATTATGATTAAGCACCGTTTTATTGGCATTACATAATATCTAAAACATCTGCATGATAATGTACTTTAGTTTACATAGGGTAGGCCTCAACAATGGATGCTAAAGCTGGAATTTTGATGACTTTGTAGCGAGGGAAACCTCCTTCTTCCAATATATTCTTCCATTCAGTCTCAGTCCTCTCTCTTCCACCTGACGTGTGTGCAATCATCAATAAATCAAAGACCAATCGTGTGTCATCCAGAATCCCTTCACCATTTGGCTCTAGAACTATATCAACAATAATGATCTTCCCACTTTTTTCGGGTATTGCTTTTCGACAATTCTTTAAAATCTTGATGCAATCACTGTCACTCCAATCATGCATAATCCACTACATTAATCAAAAGTTAATTAGTTCGTCATTTCAAATTTAACAAATAATACTATGTCTAACTAACAACGTTTCTTCAAAACCAAGAGCTACGAGATCACCCCTTCCAAGGTGACAAAAGGAAAGAAATTTATACCTACAAGGCTACAACCAAACCATATAACTGGAATGTAAAAGATTTTATGGTGACTTACCTTCATGAAAACTGCATCAGCATTTGGAATACTGCCCTCAAACATATCACCACCTACATGTGACACACCATGGTACACCGGTGCTGTGGCTACGACATGGGGCAGATCAAAATTGAAACCTTTGATGTTGGGATAGGACTTGACAATCTCAGCCACTGCACTTCCAGTCCCACCACCTACATCCACTAACGATCCCACACCATCAAACCCATGTTCATAACCTGTGAGTATTGCCTTCATCACAACCCTAGCAGTACAGGCCATACCATCGTTGAACAATTTGTTGAACTCTGGATTTTGGGACGCATAGTCCCAAATCTCAAGTCCATGGGCCATCTTAAAGGCATATGGACCTCCTTCTTTGACGCATTGGCTGAAATAGTGCCAAGGGGCCATTAGGCAAGGGTGATTCTCCATCACAAGCATTGGGGCTAGGCTCAGCTCTGTATTATGTAACAACCATCTTGATGAGTGTGTCAACCCATAAAGTGGTTCCTCGCCATCAGATGAGTGATGAATGGCAAATATATTCCGGCGGACAAGAAGTCTCATGATGCGTGTGAGGTACGTCATGTCTGGGGAGGGTGCTATGGATGAGGCTAATTGGGACAAAGTGATCATAGGCCTTGAGTTTGAGGCACCATCAGTAGGACTATGAGAGTGTATGATATCGGCAATGCGTAGTTCGACAGCACATTTTAAGGCCATGGAATCAGCAAAACCAAACATGTACTTCCATATATCTGCTTGGCCTCTTAGGCTTGCCTCAACTTCTGTTGCTTCCTGCATTTCCATCTATAGAGTGCTTTTGAAAAATGTGCTAATTACACGAGTTATATAAAGAAGGGAAACATATATTATATAATCTCAATGATGTATACGAGTTATATGGATAAGGGAAAAAACATATTATATAATCTCAATAATGCTGAAACCTTTTGGTAAAGTGTAATATTCAATTGGTGGAGCAAGTAATGTTGCAATTAAAATTTATATTTTCTTTTTCTACCTCAGTTTTTTCTCTTCCTCTTCGATGAACCCAAAAGCATCTGAAGAAATCATTAGATAGTACCGTATCATCACGTCACCTGTAATACTTTGATTAAATTTTAGCAATGATTTCTTAACTTTAACTCAATTAGAGCAATGGTCTCTCAACTAAAAATTCATTATCATTGGGGCCAAGCTCAACTCTGTGTCATGTAACAACTATCTTGATGAGTGTGTCAACCCATAAAGTGGTTCCCCACCATCAGATGGGTGATGAATGGCAAATATATTCTGACAGACAAGAAGTCTCATGATGATTGTGAGGTACGTCATGTCTGGAGAAGGTGCTATGGATGAGGCTAATTGGGACAAAGTGATCATAGGCTCAGTAGGACTATGGGAGTGTATGATATCGGCAATGCATAGCTCCACAGCACATTTTAAGGCCATGGAATCAGCAAAACCAAACATGTACTTCCATATATCTGCTTGGCCTCTTAGGCTTGCCTCAATTTCTGTTGCTTCCTACATTTCAATCTATAGATTACTTTTGAAAGAGGTGCTAATTACACGAGTTATATAACGAAGGGAATATTATATAATCTCAATAATGTTGAAACCTTTTGGTAAAGTCTAGTACTCAGTCGGTGTAGCAGGTAGCAGTTAAAGTTGAAGGAATCAATTAATTATTGGAAATATGTTGAACGTGTGGATTAATCAACCTCCTAATGCACATGCACTAACTAGCCGACAAATTTACTTTTATTTGGTTAAGAAATAATGTGATAATTTATATTAAATTTATCTTTATTACGGACAAAAGGATTTAAACTTAAGTGCAATAAAGGATTACGTTACTCTAATCAATATGACTAAGTTTACAATAGATTACTGTTTAATATTGCACATTTTAGTAAATAGCCCAATTCAAAATCATACTTGGATCATAACACGGATATCTATTTAGTAAAATATGATATAATATGTGGGTTCCTTCGGACATAAGCTCTTATGTATGTGTAAACATGATAAATGAATTATAACTATTTTCAAATAGATCGGGATCAGGAAGAATTTCTGAAATGTGAAGTCAATATATCTATATGTATTAGGAAAGCATATGAAAGGGATGTTATTATTTTAGTTTGGATCTAAGAAATTCGATGAACAACAATTACATAAATAATCTCAGAAAATCAGAATACGACACCTTAATTTTTTTTTTCTCAAGAAAGACAATATTGCCTTCATTAAATGGGTAGGACCTTCCACTGTTCTCACACACAGCTCAACATCCCTGAGCGTTTAATGTAATATCCCACATCGCCCAGGGGAGTAGATCATGTAAGCCTTATATGTATATTCTCATCTCAACCTAGCACGAAGCATTTTGGGAGCTCACTGGCTTCGAGTTCCATCGGAACTCTGAAGTTAAGCGCGTTCGTGCGAGAGCAATCCCATGATGGGTAACCCATTGGGAAGTTCTTGTGTGAGTTCCCAGAAACAAAACCGTGAGGGCTTGGTCGGGGTCCAAAGCGGACAATATCGTGCTACGGTGGAGTCGAGCCCAGATGTGGTGGGGGCTCGGGCCGGGATGTGACAATTTGGTATCAGAGCCAATCCCTGGCCGGAAGTGTGCCGACAAGGACGTCGGGCCCATGAGGGGGGGTGGATTGTAACATCCCACATCGCCTAGGGGCGTACATCATGTAAGCCTTATATGTATATTCCCATCTCTACCTAGCACGAGGCCTTTTGGGAGCTCACTGGCTTCATGTTCTATTGGAACTCCGAAGTTAAGCAAGTTCGCGCGAGGGCAATCCCATGATGGGTGACCTACTAGGAAGTTCTCGTGTGAGTTCCCAGAAACAAAACTGTGAGGGCGTGGTCGAGGCCCAAAACGGATAAATATAGTGCTACGGTGGAGTCGAGCCTGGGATGTGACATCTAAGCAGCTGACTATGACATGAAAAAATCAAAGGTATTAAGGATAGGGTTAATTACTAAATCCTATCTTTAATACATTCCCAATTGAAGATCAACTAAATCAAGCAAAGAATCATTTTCACAATGAATTAGGGATACTTCCACCATTATTCCAAGATATTTTCTCTTAATTAATATTTTGAGAATATTCTTTTCTCATCCATCCAACGGATAACACATCTTGGCCAGTAGGATGCTACCATGTGAAGGGCAAGACCCTGACCCCTTGGCCAGCCACCTCCTCCTATAAATACCTCAATCTCCACCAAATTTTGGTAAGCTTTTTGCTACGCATACAAGCCTTAAACACTCACTCTTTTCATAGAAACTAACTTAAGCATCGGAGATCCATTGGCCAAACTCCCCTCCCCTCCCAACCCCCCACCTCTTGGGCGCATGAGGCTTTGGTCTTTGATCAAGGATGTTGATTGTTTTGTAGGTACAAATTCGTCAAGACTAAAGACAGTTGATTTTTGCTACCACAAATTGGTGTTTCATTGATAGCTTGATTCAAACACTCGAAGAAGACTCTCGCAATTAATTTTGGCATATTTTGTTATATAGAATTTCTCACACGCAGTATCATTTAATTTTCAAAGAAAAGTTTCTTGATTAGTCCCTAGAGAAAGGATACAATGGTAGAAAATTTCAGAACCACGACGAATGGAATGCCCTATGTTTAAGTATTTGGGTCGGAGAACATAGACCAAGATGCGGCCCCATGTTGACGATCCTCAAGGCACAACACAATGGTAGGAAGAGCCATACTGCTGCAGAGCACCACCACCTCAATTGTGGCCACTGCCTAATAACCACCACGCGTCCACCAAGCAACAATCCACGCTGCAATTGCATTCATAAACCACGGGTAGAAGGCCCATGTCGTGGCAGCCCCTATTGTAAGCTGAGCAGCTGAGGCCTAAGCCTAGAACAGCGTAACCACAAACCCTGAACATGAGGCTTAGGTCCATGGAACATAAAGCCTAAGGCAAAAGGCTTATGGGAGTTATGGGCTGGAGACCCAGTCCACTGCAACAGTTGGGAACCATGTAGCCCAAGCGACCCAAGCCCAGTGAGCAATAACACAGACGCTCTAAGCCCACGGGTAGGCGACCCATGTGCAAGCTCAATGAGTTCTAGCCCATGACTAGACGAGATAAGTGGAACCGACCAGTTTAGTTGACAAGGCTCCAAGTCACCAGACTGGTTCTGACTGAGGCTGAGAGAACTGATTTTTGGACATGTGACTGGACCAAGGTATTTTTGCCATTTTATCCATAAGTTTGCCTTATCCAGGCCTGAGTTTTTCACCTGTAACTCATTACACTTCCACCACTTACGGAGATGCCCATCATCCGAGCTCGTTCATCCCAAATGGCGAACAACACTTGTCTTGGTAGGTCGCCGACCTAACTAGCACCCTCACGCAGTAGACGACTATGGTGAACTAGCTCCTGAAACACATCGAGATGTAGCTCGCCCAAGCGAGGTATCCCAAAGCAGAATAAGGCAGATCATCATAACTTTTTCTAGCGACATCCTAACAAATAACCACTTGACTAGCCACAAATCGAGCGTTATGGCAGTGTACACTCTTGATTTAGCCCTTGAGTTTAATGTACATTCACGGTTGGGTTCACACAACAAGCATTCCAGACATTTCAGGTAAAACGTCCATTCACGGTTAGGCCCGCAAAAAGTTTCTCCTATCAAGCACCAGAGCAGGTAACACGATGAACAAAGGAAAACACGAGAACATTCCAACTCGAGTTCAATTGGCAGCCCACGCCAAGCGATACCGCGAGCAGCTTGCTTACCAGCCAGAGATGAAGCATGAACACCGCAACCATGACACAAAGAGGATGACAAGTAGAAGAATAGTACATACATGCAAGTCAACACCAGAGGTAGTCGGAGGCTCCGCTACCTCAATATAGGAATCCAGGATGAAGTACAAAGACTCGTAGCAGAGTAATTGCGCGAATTTCAGCACATCAAGACCATTGACATAGCACTAAGAAAAGACGTATCTTGTATGAGCAGCTCACCTTTCATTGACAAGATCGAGGCAACATAATTATCCTGCATACATTGACAGATGCAAAGATTACTTTTGTTCAGTAAAATTGACATATCAAGGAAATGGCCGTAGTGTTTTCCAGAACAAGATCTTGATCAAGAATTGTGTCCAAAACCAAGTGGTAAGTACAACACCATTCTAAGAGATGTATACATAGAGGTAGACTACATAAGATTTGAAGACAATCAAATCCATTATTTCTTTTAATATGTCTAGACTTCTAGCAAAATGCATGTTCCATCTAAATATTGTTATTACATTTAAGGCTCAAGAAATTAAACTATGCAGCATTAGGTTTTTAGTTAAGTCTTGAATATTCTTGTCTCTCTCACTGTGTTTGGTTTATCTTAAGAGTAAAACTTTGACAAACAAACATCGTTAACACATACTGGTAGGTTGGGTTTCATTGTACCCACATAACTTCTTTGAATATTCGCTTTAACATTAGACGAGGGGTGAATAGAGTTTGAAAGATAACGTAGTTATTGCGCAGCTTGAAGCATTACAAAATTTCTCCAACAATAATTATAGATACTCAATCATTGCAATCTTGGTTTGATCATCATTATTCATTCCTATCTAGCAACTATTCAAGCAAGTTTTCAAGGGGATTTTGTACTACCTCTAAAGCTAGCTACTGGTACAATAGATTGTAAGCTGGTAAATCATATATTCTTTGAGTATCTTCTAAAGACAACTCCCTTCCCAACTGCGTCCTTGTTGCTTGTAGAACCTCCTGAAGGATTGAAAGCAAAAAATTAAGGGTTAG